GCTATTAGCAACGGTCGGCCCGATGTATCGATTTGCATCTCTCTCCGCTTTGAACGAGTCGCTTCTCTCTAAACACTCTTCTGCTACCAATAGACGAATACATTAATAGAGAATGAAGCGATGGCGAAATAAACTCGTATAGGAAGTCGATATCGTGCCGATAAAAGGAAAACGATCGCGTCCCTTTTTACTCTAATCACCGATAAACCAGTGTCCAACAGACATGTCCCGATACCTTCTCGAGCCAACTTTTACTGCCACTTTGCGATACTTCTACGTTTCGCAGAGGCGGAAGAGTTCCTTGACGCGTTGCGTGCCACGCAACATGGCGGCGTGTCGCATTGCGTTTGTATATAGAAGTCCTCGCAAAGTTATGAGAAATTCTTCTTTCGATACTTAGTCTAGTAATAATGGTACATCGCACGGTTATTTCCGATCGACAGGGAAAAATAAGAAAAGCTGAAACTCAGGTGTGGTACTCGAGGCGTTAACCCCATGATCGGTGAATGAAACAGCAATAGGATCTCGAAAAATGGAGTAAAGAGAGACATCGAAAAATCGATTAAAAATGGCCATCTAGATCGTGGTAGGTTCAGTATTAAATTTCGTATTAAATTTCGTAATTTGTATTTCGATAGTCCAATAATGACCACGGGTGCGTGGGTATAATTAGCACGAAGTATATTGAACAAAAGAAATAAGTTACATATACATTTGTGGTGACCATCCTTCTCACCCTCGCCAATAAATGGCTTCCAACATGGAGATTCCAGGACTTTCTCGCAAATTCTCGGTAAAACCTCCGCTTCCTATACATATAACTTTCCAATATTCCAATCGTACCCTGTTTAAAGTAGAGCCTGCTTGGTGACCTTATCGATGAGTTCACTAGCAGGCCCTGGACGAAACGCATCCCTTCCTTTTGCTTTGATCCCTTCCAGCACCACCGCGACACAGAGGATACCTGCATCAAGTGACAGTAGCAACCCCCAAATGGGAGGATTCCCAAAATATTGCTACACAGAGGAGAGGTGTCCTGACCGCCCAGTGACCTAGGTCTACTCTTTGGTGTCTACGACTAAGGCGGGAAATTAGAATACCAACGATTATCGTTACGATATACACGGATAGGCATACATGTGTCCAAGGGTTGAGGAAAAATTTTCTTGGGCAAGAGGGTGATGGGAAGGGAAAATGTGGAGGGTCAGACAGCAGAACTGAGAGAAGAGTGGCGGAATCACGGAAGGATCTTTCCCGTTGGAGGCACGCGAATGGCGAGTAAAGGACGAACGGTGGAACGTTATCTCGTGGGGCTAGGGTGGCAGCCGGAAGCAGGGAAATTCAGGGTAGTCTCTCAATTATTCGTGGGCATCGATCGGCTGCCTTGGCGGACGCGAGCGTTCCGGAGAGTGTCGCCGGTGTCGTACACGCGGAAAGACAGTTTGGCAGAGCATGTGTCTCGTGAAAGAAACATCGTTGGCCTCGACGCTCTAATGGCCGGGAGGGTTAATCGCGACTGGAAGGCGAGTAAAGCCGGAATAAAGCCTGGTAAAGATTTATGAACGCACGGTGAAAAGAGGAGATTGCTGATTCGCGGCGCGGCTGCCACGGGATTTCATCTGTCCGCTCGGGGATTCGCGTGGTTCGTGATTGTTTTCCAAAGAGCGGCGCCGATTGGATAGAGTTAGCGGCTCGAACGAAGAAAAACAATCGGCGCGATTATGCGACGCCGTGCAACGCTGCGGCGGGTTGGTGCAAACCGGTTGCTCGTTCGCTGCGCGAATCTCTCGGGGAAAATAAGAGAGAAAATAACAGGGAGACGTTTGCGAGAGGCGCGAGAAGTGTTTCGAAAAATTTGAATAGGGAACCGGTCTACGCAAGGTCTCGAAGAACCGGATAGAGATTTATGAACGCTAACGAGTCGCGTCGTGGAAGTTGGATCGGATATTGTCGGGCGGTAGTAAAAAGGACCCTCTTCTTTCTTAATTTATCGACTTTCATCGGCGCTCTCGTTAATTATTTTCACGGATAAACGTCGTAAGGAACCGTGGTCGTACCCGGAGCCAGGTCCTCGTAATCCCCGCGGAAATATTTTTTCGACCGTATTACCGTCGCGTCCTTGCCATCGTCGTCGCGGGAATCAGAGGGCGAGACGGAGGAGAGGGTGGTAGGGCGTATTTTAATAATATTTGACGTTTAAACACGGAAAAGTACAATCTCTTTGCCCTCGCGGGTCGAGGAAAGTTTGAACGAAGTGGAAAGACACAGGTCCCTGTCCAGGGGAACCGTCGCCGCGGTGATTCACGGTAGTTAAGCAGTCGAGAATTACCTGCTGCAACTTTTTCCGAGCAGAGGTGAATTAAACGATCGCAACCGTCTCTACCGGCTGTTCCTGAAACGTATCCAAACTTTGCTTGCTGGAGTATCGCGTTAATTGTTTTGCACGTTCGTTCCTTCGCATTTGCTGTGCGTGCCACGCTCGGTCGCGACTTCTTAGCGCTCTTCTCGTTTCTTTTCTTTTCTTCCTTATATATTTTACTTCCTTTTCTTCTTCCCTTGTAGCGCGACAAAGAACCAAAGATTTTCGGTAAATTTCGAGAGAAAATAGAAGGAAATCGCGTTTCGCAGAATACACGAGGAACTCATATATGCGTTTGACGATAACAACTGATAGAGCCGAAAGATCCATATATATATTTCACCTAAACGCATCGCTGTGGTCACATATGTAGGATACTTTTAGATTTTATTAGGGTGCGATGGTCAATAGGACCCGTTAAGATACGGCTGCCAGATGGGCCGTAGGAGGTCGGGGCCCGGCCACGTGTGGCGGCTTCGCGCAACCCCGGCTTTCCTTGTACATCGAGGGTATCACGGCCGGCGTTACCTCTTGGGGTCCCCGTGAGGGTGACCTTTCGGAGGGCCTGACCCGGAAGGAGGAGTCTCCTTCACTCCTGATCTTGGTGCGGAGAGAGTTTCCTCCTGCTTCGGGGGAGGTGCTTGCCTTCCAGACGGGCTTAAAAGGGCCCGTTCTGAAAGATAAACGCAGTTAAGAGTTCGAGAGTTGACAGTTGTTAAGATAGCAGGTTCGAGAGATACAGAGTTAGTTATAGAGCGAGTGACAGTTAGGTAGTCAGTGATTCGGTCAATTACAGTTCCAGTCCAGCTCTAAGTCAGTTCTCAATCAGCGAAAATTTTAGCCCAAGTACTCTGCAACGTCGTAGAGACTCTGTGACTCTACAACGAAAATATCAACGAGAATAGCGACTAAGCAGAAACGTGCACTAGCAATTTGAAATGCCTATCGCGGCAGCAACTCGACCCCTTCGTACGGTTAACTTCGAACCGTTCCGTGCGCAAAGGGTTAAAAGAAGAAAGCCTAGCCATGGCCGCTCCTCCTCGCGCGATTCTTCTACCCTCTTAATAAACGCGCTCCCTCCCGAACAAAGAGCTCGTTAATTGGAACCGCTGTCGCCGTGCGAGTACATATTTATAAAACGAAGCTAATTTCCCTTCTTCGAACGCAATTAAATTTTATCATCGATATCGCAATTTTTGCGCGAGCCGACACTCTCCAGCGTTAACCTAACGACAACCCCGGCAAGCTAATGAACGAAGCGGGAGAAGAATAAAAAGAGCACCCGGTTTTGTCCTCTGCGAGGCGTACAGGGAAAAAAGGACGATCCATTTTCTCGCAGCTGGTATGATAATGATAATAATAATAATTACGAGCCCTTTTGCCACGGCAGTTTCGCGCGACCCACTTTCCTTCTTTCCGCTTTATTCCCTCTTTTTCCTCCGCCTCGTCCCTCGCGCTTTCCTCTGTCCTTTTACCCCTCGTTCGTACTTATCCATCGAATCGTAAGACGACACGAGTGTACCGGTCGTGCATCGTCGATGAAACTTCCGGAAAGCCGATTCGGCGGGGCCGTTAATGCCTTTGAAATCGAAATCGCGAAAAGCAGTTCGTTCACGGATTCGCTGGACGGAACATTCGAGATCGGTGCCGAGCTTTTCCTTTTCCGCTCTCTTCCCCTTTTTCACCTTTTCGTCACCTCTTCTTCTCCTCTTCTCCCCGGTCGTCCCGAATTCAGGGACCGAAGGACGGCTTAACGACTTGGAAAGCGAACGACAGTTTTTGATATTCGTCCCGTAAAGGCCGGACCTTATTTTTCCCTTTCGCAGCCTTTTATCACCGCACTTCCTCGCCAACTTTTACGCCGCGCTAACTTTTTACGCGCGCGTCGCGCGAACGCTGGCCCCGGCTTCAAAATTACTCGACCGCGCGGTCAGTATTAGCCACGGATCGTCTCCGACTCGTGCCGAGGTTTCCGCGCGGATTGAAGCTCGAAAGATTCCTCGTCCCGATTATACACTGCTCTGCTTTACGATCCCGCGTCGGAGTACCGCTCGAGGTTACGGCGCTGTCCGGTTACCGTTCCCGTCGACAAAGCGACTCTAAAAGCGCGGAGAGAAATCGCGACTGGGACCGGAAACGAGGGCCAATTGGGAAAAACGCGTGCTTCTTTGGAAATTAAATATAGAGTCCCGTGTTTTTAACGAACCTGCGACGATCGACGAGCGAAGGACAAACGATGACGTCGGGAATAATAAAAAAGACAGGAAAACCCGCTCGGATAGATTGATGCGTGTTCCATTGGGTTCGTTGGTCCGCTTTTTCCCCATCCCCGTCGCCTTTTTGTTTACCCCCTGCCCCCACTTCTCTGCCTGTCTCGCTCACTCTCCCTCTCTTTCTCTCTCTCTCTCTCTCTGTGTATGTGTTCCTATACTTCCTTTTTTCCGTTTTCTTTTTTTTTTTACAACCAGTCACGGAAAAAGGGTTTCATTTAACCGAAAAAGTTTCGCCGATAAAACCATGGCCGGTTCCTCTTCGGAGAATCCTGTTTATACGTTTATGTCGAACGCGACTGTTTGTTCCGGGCGCTACACCATATTTGCACGGCCGACCGGGCTGAATCAATTTCTGCTTTTGGTTTCAGTGCCCATGTACGACGGCGAGCAATTAAACTTGACGAGTATCACGCGCACCGATATGGGCGCGTATCTCTGCATCGCGACCAATGGCGTGCCGCCAACAGTCAGCAAGAGGATCACCGTGGACGTCGAATGTGAGTGGATTTCAAGATACGCCACGTTCGTCATACGTTTATTCGTTTCCCTGTGTACTCTACGCCGCATGGTTTTGTCCCTTCCGATACGATACCCTTGTTCCCCAAAATATTCTATCATAGGATATATATACGATAGAATTGCGAAATTTTTACGAGTGACTAAAATTACCGGTAATGCACCATTCGAGTCAATCGTCGGAACAAAACAGTTGCCAGAAATCAGAGACGCGAGGTATGCAAATTTCGCCACGTGTTTTGATAGGAAAATGAAAGGAAATAAATCAATGTTGGCGCGAGAGCAAAAAGCAAACGGGGAACGATCGATCGTAGCGACACCTGGGCTCCCCAGCGCAGTGGTTAAACTCCTTCATCAAGGTCTCGCGGGAAAAGTTCGAAAAACGCGAGTGCGGCGGTTCGACGTGGTATTGTTTAAATTTCATTTCACGAATTGCAACGTGCCCTGGCGCGCGTCGACGTCGGCGTCGGCGTCGCTGGTCCGACGAGGAGGAAGGAAAGGGCGAGCGAGCAGATGCGCCGTTAGGAAGACCCGAGGGAAATACCGGGCAGGTCGACGGGAGCGAGCGCGTCCCGACGCTGCTGGTCATTTTTCCCTTTTATGCGTTCCATTCGTTCGTGTCACTTGACGCCAGCTTGGTGTGCGTACACGGCCAACAAGCTGGGGGGACGGGGCTCGGCGCTGTCCTTTGAATATTTAGAAGGGCGCAGACATATTTTATTTAGACCTGCGAGAAAACAGCCTGCTTCCGGCTCCCGCTCACGGAACTCCCGCTCCGGCACTTTTGTTTCCCTTTGCCTTCTGCCTGGCGCCACGCGTTTGAATAATTTTTACCCGTTTTCCGGAGATCCGTCGCTGCTGCAGCTCCCACTGCTGCGTCCCGTTCACCCCGACAAATTATCCGTACTCGACTGTTCGATCGTCCCGCGTATCACCCCGTGGATCGGAATTACAGCCACGAAGGATAATAACTTCGGATCCCCCGGGAGAAATGGCGGCCTCCCGGGACCGGAACTGCAATCCCTCGCCGCGTCCTGGCGAACAATTTATTCCGGGTCAACCGTCCATCCATGCAGGCATCGGAGAATAAACTTCCTCCTTCTTAATCCAGATTACATCCGAAAGAGATTTCCGTTTCACGTATTCCACTAGCGTCACTTGCGACCGCTTTGTTCAACAGCGTGTTGGGAAAAAGGGGACGATACCGCGGGGCAAAGTGGCTGGCTCTTTTGAGCGCTTAGGGGAGACATATTTTATTCGAGTGCACGAGATAATCTCGGTTTCCGCGACGATCGCGAAAGAAGCAGCCTCGGTATCCCGCTTGTTCGTCTTTCCTGCGAAGATGTCGTCGTTTTAAGTCAACGTCCCGCGCTTCTTCTTTTCTACCATCTCTGTCTGCTCGGAAATTTTTCTGCCATCGATTGCCCGCAAGGGGAAACCCTTTGCGCGACGTTCTCAGCGTGCACCGAATCCTCGAGCGGAGTCACGGATTCGCCAAACAAGCGTAACGACGTCCCGTCCTCCGCGCAAATCCTGTTCTTTCAAACCGAGAGAGCGGAAATGGAAAATATTCCTCGGCTCGTATCGACGCTGGAAATAATCATTCCGATAGGGAGGCGATAAAAGAGCCGGCCTCGCGGAGAATGGGCTTTTTTGCGGCAAGTGAAAAATGAGGGATGAAACGGTTGTCTGGGATTACCGGGGAGGGACCGCGGAAAAAGATATTCGATCAACGCGCGGATCCGAGGTGTCCTTGCAGGATTACAAAAGTCCCGCGATCGTCCCGCCTAATGCTCTTCGAAGCCTCCTGGGGGGCATTATACAAATTCTAACCAGCCTTGGACAGGCTAAAGTGACAGAATAAACGATTCGCCGCGGCGTTTCTCGAGCTTTTTATTCCACTCGTTTGCCAGCTTCCTTTGTGGACCGACGCTGGCTTAGTTCCTCCTTGCTTCTTCACAGGCAACCGAAAGTCTTTGGATCCTAAATTCGTGGTAAATCTGACAGTTGCGTATGTACATTGATTATGTAACGGATAAACCGTTCTTCAACTGCGAAACGTACCTATCTTCACGGTACCTCGCTAACCTCGCAAAGAGTTGGTTCGAAAGTCTTTGGACGTTGATACGTTCTAGACGCTAAATTCCTCATCGAGATTCGTACTAAATCTGACAGTTGCGCATGTACATTGATTATGTAACGAATAAACCGTTCTCCAACTGCGAAACGTTCCTATCCTCACGGTACCTCGCTATCCTCGCAGAGAGTCAGTTGGAAGCGTCTCGCAACGTCCCGAAAGAACGCTGGAGGAGCCCAAGATCCGATCGATACAGAGCTTAGGCAAGATTGCGAACGCACGAAAGCGATTCATCGTGAGTTGACGTCCGATGGATTAATTTCACCGAGCGCGAAGAGGAAGGGTGGCCCGGGAACCCCCGAGCGAAGGAGGTGCTCGAACGTAGATAGAGTCTATGGTGGGAAATCGGGAGAAGTATGCGTTAATTAGGGTCAGCGCTGGCAATTTGTGGATTTGTGGCGAGCCTGATGCATACCGCCGATGGCTGGCCTCCAGAGATAGTTGCTGCACCGCCTGCTCGGTGTTATTCGTCTACGGTTAACCCCGTCCGTTCGCCGGCCAGTTTTGTTCTCGTCTAGGCCTACCTACCCCTCGGCTGGCGTGCACCTTCGCGCTATTAATTATAGCCGCGTTCCTCGTTAAATCGCACCCCCGAAACGTCTGTCTCGCATGGAGGCTAGCTCGTCGAATTTGCTCGGCAACTCGCCGATCACGCGAGAGTCTCGCCGAAGTACGCGACCTGCATCCTCTGGACTAGTCTCTGAACCAGCTAGCCACCGGTTTTAATCCTTTCGCTATTATGAGTGACTATGGTCACCAGCCATGAGACGCGTTCTATACACGACGGGTGACTATATAGTCACCGGCTACAAAAAATTGAGTCAAAAAGTAAGTCGAGTGCTATTGTTCCGCTTAGCTCTCTTCCGCAAAGAATTGCAAGCGCTATTGCGATGGTTTTACATTTTTATTTCTTTATTTTTCAAAAGACTTGGCCCCGAATGCTAAAGACTGCACGATCCTAATGCTTCCATCTTTGGTACAACCCTTAGTTCAACGCGAGGGACTCCGTGGCGACGCCCGCCATAGCGAAAGGGTTAATCAAGTTTCCGACGAGGTTGTCGCGAACAACTCGTCCAAACAGCTGCAATACCAGAATCCTAGACCGGCAGCCCGTGTAGCTGACAGTGGTAGCTGTAGAAAAATTCCAAGTCCGAGGCTCATCCAATTCGACTCTAACAGCAGTCGATTAGCTGACATGTCTCCTAGTCCAGAGCTAACCTACAGTCTCAAAGATTCTCCTCGGAGCTTCCTGTTTATTTCGATCGAATTAAACCACGAGCGGTTGTTTTCCACGCGGTGCTTACATTTGATCAGTTCCAAGAGAGGAACAGGAGAAACTTGGTCCCAGGGACGAAAGTTTTTCACCTGGAGCCCCGTTTGCTAGTCAATGCGAGGTGCAACTCGCGGAAACTAGCGGGACTCGCGACTCGGGAAATTGTTCCGAAGCAACTCCATTTGCTGGGTAAGAAGAGGGTGAAAACGGAAAGATAATACAATCGCGTTAAACAACGTCTTATTGTTCCCACGTCCCCTGGCGTCGCGCTCTATACCGTCGATCGAACTTTGGATCTAATCGACACGTCTTACTCGACTCTCGCGTCGAATAAACTTCTTCACTCGCAGACAGAGTCGTAACGAATGAATTCGAAGCGACTGTTCTATCCTTCTCGAGCGAATCATGCGCGAGACCCGCGGATGACGCCGGAACCCTAAGAATTTAGGAGCCATTCGTCGCGAAGCTTTAATCTCGTCACTCGTTCGCCACTGTCGGTTACCGATCTCCATAATCGTCGGAAAACCTGGTATATTTCACGGTCAGTGATTTCCGCGAGGATATATCGCGGGACTGATAGAGTATGGTCCCCCATGAACGTCACCGCGACCGATTCGTTCACCGTGAACGAGGCTCGCCTGTTCACTGCCATAACCGATTTCTCCGTTTAATGTTCAAAGTCTCGCCGTTGATCTTCGTGCCGAATCAGCTGGTGGGCGCGCCAGCTGGCACGAACGTAACGATCGACTGCCAGACAGAGGCTTACCCACGGGCGATGAACTACTGGTTCCTCGGCGACGAGATGATACTGTCGAACGAGAAGTACACCACGACCACCCTGCGGAACAGCTACAGGTCTTACATGAGCCTGACCATAAGGAACCTGCAGCCCGATAACTTTGGCAATTATCGTTGCATCAGCAAGAACTCGCTGGGCGAGACCGAGGGCTCGATCAGGCTGTACGGTAAGAACGGAGAACGCGAATCGTGCAAGAGTATCGAGGCGATCGTTACCGCTATTCGCGGGAATTTCTGCTGTCTTTATTTTTATAACCTCGCATCGGTTGTCGATAATTGGGCCTCGAATCGTCGAGCAAGTCAGAGATCTCGCGAGGGGAGGGATGGAATAGACGTATACAATACTCGTCATGCTGGAGACGAGGAAGGGAGTATTTCGACGAAGTATCGAATATTTAGACACTCCCTCTTCGTCTCGTTCGCGAAACGATCGAGTACCCTAACGGTGACCCTATCACGTGGAATCGTGATGGGTTCAGCGCCGATATTTTCCGAAAATTACGAAACTCGATCGATCGGTTCTCTCGGAGACAGAACCGACCGATTGACAGGGTCGTTCGAAACGTCAGATGAATTGACAGTGGGCAATTTTTATTTCAGAAATGCCGAAGCCGTCCGCTGCACCGAAGGCGACAGAGATCAGGAGCAGCGCCAACAACGAAGGTGAGAGCCTGATTGAATGTATTGCACTTCGAGCCCCGAAATCGATATCACGTAGGTCCTCTCCGACGCTTCCCTCTTCATCGAACTCGTTACACCCGGGTCTTATTTTCGAATCTGCTACCAAAGTCTCTCCCCTCGCGTCTTCGCGCAACCGCGACCGCGGATGGGAGCGAAGCCGAGACGGAGGGCGAAGTCGTTGGACTCGGAACGGGCAAAGTTCGAAAATATTTCAAGTTCTCGGCACGGCTCGGCCATAGAATTTCGCGGGAGATCAAGGGGTTTGCTTTGGTAGTCCAAACAATTTAGACGAGAGCACCGCGTCCGTATCGATTGCTTCACGGTTCGTCGGAATACGGCAGCAACGCTGTCCCGTCTTCTTCCACGGGATACGTTTCCCCACGATCGACCACGAACATCCTCGATACGCTAACGACATCCGTTTCGCGTCCCGGTTAAATCTCTTTCCGATTCGCGAGTCCCGGTCTCTGACTGACGGAGGCTGTTGTCCTCGACGGTCGAGGACTCGGTTAGCGAGGAAAAATATTTTTTCTGTGTCAACGACGACGGTATTCGATCTTTCACGCGACGTTGGTCAACGAGGTAGACACTGACGATGATTTCCCGCAAAATTTTACACGGTAACATTCCGAGGTTAGGTAAAATTCGGGAACGAAAGGCGACCGCTGCAAGCGCCATGTTCGAAACGCGGAAGGGACTGTCGCTGAAGGAAACCAGCGACGAAGGAGCAAATTACGCAGAAACGCGATCCCCGACGAAAGCAGCGACTCGAGCTCTCGAATGTAATCTTTGCATTAGGCGAGCCAGTGCGGTGTGTGCACATTGGCGCGTGTATTATTAAAGCGGCGCGAATAACTTGGGCGGATGCCTAGGTCAGGTCCCTGTGGCTCTGGCCCGGTGTTCTCGCAGCGAAACCAATCTCAATATGCTGCATTATTAAGGCCATACAAGGCTCGGCCACGACGGTATTACCGCCATTAAGCTTCGCGATTTTACTCGCAGCCTTACTTGCCCGGGAAACCATGGATTATTGTTAGATCGTACAGGTTACGACGAAGGGCGCCGTCTCTTAGCTGCGGGCGGACCGGGTACTAGGAATTTTCGCTCGGCACGCGATCCTTGTTCGCCATTTTGGGTTAGCCGTTGCTGCGTGCAAACGAGATTTGAAATTTCCTGCATAGTGGAGAAGGGTTCGTTGTTCGGTGAACCGGACGCGATTGAAGCTGGCGCTGATTCGGTTGAAAATGATTGGGGAAATAAAACGCGACCAGGTGTATCGCCGAGTGTGGGAATGGTAGAAAAAAGACGCGTCTATCGGGTATCGGTGATTAACGAAAATTTAATAGCGCGCAATTTTCCGAGCGCGTACCACGCCTCGTACGTTCATTAGGATCGCAGGCGACCGGGAAAAGGGAAACGAAACGTAACGACGTAACGATCCTCTCGAGCGGGCATTTCCGACGCGTTTCGAGTCAGGCGTCGCGCAACTGTCGCACGGTTTTATCGTAATATACGGGCCGGATGATTGACTGCGGTGCACGGGAAAGTTTCGCGAAATCGGACGGCGCTTCGTGTTCGTCGCCTTCCCTGGCTCGAAATCAATCTTAATATTAGCGAATTATTAATGACCCGACCGCGCCGGGCAATAACTCACCAACGGGACGTTAAGCGCCAGCCAACAGTTTCCAATGGGACCGCCTTGCTCCTTATCAGACCAGATAAGGCTCGAACCGGAAGCGAGAGCTTCGGGGTTGACGTATCGATTCGACAACCCCGTGACATCTGGCTTTCCGCCATTCAACGCACCACGGCGCCACCGATTCTTCCAAATCCGCTCGAAATAACGAATCATAGAGCGATTGACAGTTCGTTCGATCGTCTCCACGTCGCGGGAGAATCGACGTCGCGTTTATGGAATCATTCGCGATTGTTCGCGATCGGTCGCGAGTCCCCGGGAAGGTTTTAATTTTTCACCGCGGTATTATATCGTGGGCTGGACCGGTGACCTAATTAGATGCATTTAAAATTCAATTACCGCTGTCCTGGCGACAGGAGGCTGCGAGGAGGCCGAATTGCACCCTCGCGGATATTGACAGCCACCGGAACTGGCAGCGAGTCGCGGAAGAATCGCGAGATCGCTGGACCGCGAGGAATGATCTATTCGCGTCCAGCTAGGAGAATAGATCGCTGTTTGTTTCGCAACACGCGTGTAGTATTGCTGTGAATATATGCGTAGGTACAGTCAGAGTTGTATCGTCCTTTAGTCACGTTTACTTTAGAGTATATCCCTAGTCTAGAGTGATTGTGAGTGTTGTACAAGTATAATATTGAACGGTAACATAGACATAGAAACGTGTTCCACCTTGTATAGATGACCATTTAGTACTAGTGTAATCGTAGCCTGATCCAACGCGGACGACGCGCATCGCGGAGAGCACGGGGTGAGCAGCGGGGTTTAAAAGATTCGTCGGAGTGTACGACGTGACTCGATAAATTCTTATTACAAATATCACGGTCGTAAAGTCAAACTAGCCGAGAAATCTGCACCGCGCGAGCCCATTACTTATACCAGATTATAACTCGTTAAACACGTCTCTAAATCTTCCTTTCGAAAAGAGAACTTTACGATCGCTCGAAATTCTCTCCCTCTCGCTGCCTCTCGCTCTCTTTCTCTCACCTACGAGTTCTCCGCTCTGTCCCTGTTCCCCTCGCGTTCGGATGGCTGCTCCTCGCCGAAGGGTTGGGATTAGGCCCAGGAGAATATACGATATTTAATAATGCCTCGACACACTAGTTGCCTCTCGGGACATCCATCGATCCTAGCAGCCGTAATTAATTATCGTCGAGCAAGGAGGCCGGAATTATTTCTGGTATTAGCCTCTGGGCTACGACGCGTCGACCTACCCGTTACTCGCAAAGATGGTTTATCGAACCATCGATTCTCCACCTCTCGCAGAGAAAGATCGATCTTTACCCAAAAACGGCGCCGCGCTCCCTCCGGGACGCTCTGTTCCTCCAACAAGAAAACGTAAAACCGAGGCCACGCTCGTGTACGAGAGAAATTGTCCAACTCGCAACGAGGCACGCTCCCCTTTTCTCTCGCTTTTTCCCTCCTTTTTATTTGTCCCCTTTTCGCAACGTAGATTACTCCGTAGACCTCTCTCATGCAAAAATTTCGTCGTTTACAGAGCCGTTTAAGCTATTATCGGAGACAGAGAACGGAGGGAACAATCACCGTTAACTCCCCGAACACGTCGATTCGTTTGATTCGCGTTTCAATCGGTTCAAAGGCTCCTATACGCACGGGAGATCAGGCTCCATTCGAATCGCTTCTCGCTTCCAATTGAATTACTTCCGAGCAATCTCCCTGGCCGCTCGCGATCTCGCTGCCGGGCAAGATCCTCGCTTGATCTTTCTTCCGCCGAGCAGGGAAACGGAATTAATTTCTCGGTTTAGCCGGCGATCACTCGTCTCGACCGCGAGATCGTTTAATAACTACAC